CGCCGCTTTTGATTCCAGCTGGTTTAAGGCGGCAGGTCCGGCTAAGGGCAAGGGGAGGGGGGAAGGATTCCACCATCATCTAGCTTTTGCTCTCAGAAGGTATCCCATGGTCCCTAAACCCTAAACCCTAAAGAGTGCTCACCATTTTGTTGGTTCCGCAGACTGCAGAGAGGTGCTGGCCATCGTGGGCAGAATGATGGGCACACAGCAAGAGCCGCCGCCTGAGATCAATATGGGTTTACGAAAATAAGGGACCCCGAAAATAGTCCCCCAGATAGTAGGATTCCTTAAGAATATAAGGACCCAATAAGGGCAGCGGCACATTTGCTGCATGTCAGCCTCCAACGATGTCAGCAGATACTTATGTTTGAGCGTGTCTCAGATGCGTCCTATGACCACCTGTGCCACCTGTGCAGGTCGCATACTTCCTAAGTCTTTGCTTCCGCATACTCTTTGTATTCCTGATGCTCTTACACAGTCCTATGACCTAATTTTCAGCTCCCGTGGGGTCTGGTTTGTATCACGCAAGCAGCTGGCGAGATTGCCCGGAACCCAGTATTCAAAAGGGTTTTGGGCTCGAAGCCCTGTAAACCACGAACCCTATAAAACCCTCCCTCCTGAACCCTATAAGCCCCCAACCCGAAACCCTATAAACCCTTATAACACCTTGTAAACCCCCCAAACCCTCATTTAACCCTACAAAAACCCTCTAAACCCTAAATCTCCTTCGTGAACCCCATAAAATCCCTTGTAAACGCCAAAAGAACCCTTATAACCCCTAAAGACCAACATAAGCCCTACAAAACCCTCGTACACCCTAAAAGCCTCATTGCAGAAACGTTTCCCTAAACCCTAAACCCTAAACCCTAAACCCTAAACCCTAAACCTTTTGGGTTTCCAGCAGCTGCCAGGTCGCGAGTCCACTTGATCAGTGAGGGTCTGGTCAGCGTCATCCTCGAGGCTCCCTGCGTTACGCGGTTTAGGGTTTAGGGTTTAGGGTTTAGGGTTTAGGGTTTAGGGTTTAGGGTTTAGGGTTTAGGGTTTAGGGTTTAGGGTTTAGGGTTTAGGGTTCCGGCAGCGCCCTCAGTCCGGCTGCAAAAAAGGGTTTAGGGTTTAGGGTTAGGGTTGAGGGTTTAGGGTTTAGGGTTTAGGGTTTAGGAGTCTGGGCTCAAAAAAGAGGAGTTAGGGGTTGTTAGGCTTGAGAGGCTTGAGGGTTGACGTTTTTTGCCTGAAGGCACTCGGAAGTCTCGAACATCGTTTCGAGCGGTTCAACAAGGTACTGTCGTTTTTCTGTCAGAAGGTTGCAAGGAGCCCTAGTGCCCACCATCATGTGTTATGCCTTCAAGAATGCCGCGAAGCTGCAGTGCGACCCGTGCTACAGATGTTTGAGGTGCTTTCAGGCTCATTGCCTGAGGGTGCCTGCTGCCTCTCAGCAAGCCCTTGTGTCCAGTTTGGGTTCGGTCAAGGGTCCTGGGGTCAATTTTTTCGATTATTTTGGACAGTCGGGGTTCAGAGTTTGAAAGCATCCCGCCGTGCAACAAGAAATGGCCAGCGTCTGTCGTGACCTACCGCACCTTTGCACACGAGATGTAGTGTCCCCGAGAGCCAAATACGCTGAACTCAGGTTCGGTACAGGAATCCCTGTGTGGTTAACGGAATCTGGGGGTTTCCGAAATTAGGGGTACCTTTTGGGATCCTTATTCTAAGGGAATCTTACTACTTGGGGTCTTTTTGAAGGGTCCCCAACTTTTCGTAACCGCCCATGTCTGTTCCTTAGTTCACAGGGTGGGGCCCCCTTACTATACTAACTGTAGTTAAGGGACTTAGAACCTAACTTAGGGTCCTTATAACCCAATTTAGGGCCCTTATAACTCTACTTATAACTAGGGGGCCCCACCCTGCAGGGGTCTGGGGCCATGCTTCAGGGGACACGGCACCACAATGACGACATCCGAGAGTGTGCTGTGCCCGGCTCTAAGACGAGGTTGAAGGTCCGCCTGGAAGCTGCTCTGGGGGGGTTTAGGGTTTAGGGTGTAGGGTTTAGGGTTTAGGGTTTAGGGCTTAGGGCGTTTAGGGTTTAGGGAAAAAAGAGGGTTGAGATCAGGGTCCTGCGCTTTGCATTGAAGTGTACATGGGGTCTCCTTCAGCGTGTACAGAGCTTAGAGTGTGATAGTAGTGAGGCAGCATTATGGCTAGAGCAGGTCGGTCCACCTTCCTTAAGCCTGCACACGTATAGCCTATATAGAACGTTCCGACGACGCAGAAAGCCGAGGTGTGCCTTGAAGGGCCTGATTCAGCATCCCGAGGCGTGGTGTACCCTAAACCCTAAACCCTAAACCCTAAACCCTAAACCCCAAACCGAGGCGTGTTGTCAGCTTCTGCGGGATAGACTCGACGGGGGGTGGGCTGGCAAGGTGCAAAACAGAAGATGCAATGAAAGGAGCACTGTGCAACAGAGCTGTTTACTACATATTTTCATTACACACACTATATACATATA